AGACTCAAGAATCAAGACCTCGAGACAAGACACTAGCAAAGCGACGCCGACTTATAATGCAATCGGTAGCGATCATGAGCCTTGGAAGCCACAAGACACGATGCTAGAACGCCAACGCCGACCGTCGTGACGTCTCTTATCACCAGTCGCCCTACGGCGATATTAGACACCATACGTCATGTAGCCCAGCCTAGGGATGCGATCCACTGCGACGCAGAACTTGCGAGAACTCACAATTCCAAATCAGTCCAATATAACTTTTGAGATTCTATATAAACTATAGCTGGAAAACCGACGGCGTGAATAGACGCCATATTTAGCGTAGATTATCTTTGGGAATACATTTTATACGAACCTGGAAAACGGACGCCAACTCTGAATTTATTGTGTAACATTTGGGGTTTATCACAGCGGTGAGTATGAAGATTTCTGTCTTCTGGGTTGAATCGCCCTGATGACGGAGGCAGTATGACCTCTGAAACGTTGGTAAACATCGACCATACTACACGGCGCAACAACCCAGAAGAAAGAAATCTGAATTTATTATTTGTTACGTTGCTATGTATGAACCTTTTTACAACATTGACCACATAGTGTGTGCCCGATCTCGAGCGTACAGTGAAGATAAAAATAGAAAATCGTGGCCTCGTCAAAGTAGCCGTATTAATGCGCATTACTCTTGAATCATTTATTCTATAAAATGACCTTTAAAACACAGGCCTCGACGGTGACATTTTCTTGTGCGTTATAATATGTTTAGGACTGGCTGACAGTGGCAGTCGCTGTTAATAAAGCTTTATGCTGTCGATTTTCGTCCACTTGGTCACATATTCAAATACCACCTCGAGCGTTTATAAATACACTTTTCAAACATGGGCCTACATACATTCAAATATGTGCGCGTGCGTGTGTGCGTTTACATCACTGAAGATCAATAACAAACTCCATGGAGCAGAGTCCTTCCTTCTTGAGAAGTCACTCAGGTAATCGCCTTTCGTCGTCTTCCCAAGAGCCCGCCACTGAAGCCCATCCTGTAGCAGACGACTTGAGTCCACGCCCTCACACACTATTTATTAAGGCCTTTTATTATTAACATTTCATCTGCGTTTCCCAGTCGGGCTTTTCTATTTGGTTATCTTACTGAAATTTGTTACGCATTTCGCATCGTTACCATGCATGCTACATGTAACGCCCACGTCTGGACGAAACCGTGCGTTCCACGCCCGTTAGAATTAAAAGCCAAGGGGTTCAGGGAGATGGAAGGTGTAGCTACGTAAGGAATTAGCAACTGTTCAATTCATAAACATTATTTACCAGCGGTAATGATTCGTAGTTTGCTGTCTTAGGTAATTAGTTTATTTTTCTTTAACCCGCAATTAGTGACATACGCGAGACGCCTGGTTTGGTTCCGACTACTGGACAGTGGGCTAACACCTCAGTCACTCTAGTCATGAGTTCTCTACTCACAGTCACATGTGTTTTAATGTTTCATCGGAGTTTAATGACGTCTTCAGATTAAACTGCTACAGGAAATAATTCCGAAACAAATCGTATTTTGGCTTCAATGCACAGAAAGATGTTTTACATTCCGAGCGGAGTTGATTTCGTATTTTATCCAAAATTAAATTAGTTTGTACTAGGTTACTGAAGATAATCAGGGTTGTTAAACAACGAAAATCGGAAAATGCACGCAAGTGGTGAGACCGCCTTGTTCTGTTTAATTAATACGTATATATATATATGTTTAATTGTTATATTTTATAATTTTAATGGAAGTCTGAGAGGCGACACTCAGGCGCCCGTTTGGCCTCGCAGCGACTGGACGACGCTTCAATTTCTTTCAGACGCGCCAATGTGTAATTTAATGCGTGGGAGAAGGAAGGCTTCAAAGTGCCGTGTAGTTGAACAATTTCCTTCTTGCTACTCAGGGTTCCTTCAGTCGTAAGTGTAGTTACAGTTTTTGTGACTGGCATTAAGCACTAGCAGGCTGTAATCTCGAACACACTTTCTGCAAAAATCGTGTTTATGATTTGTATAGTGTACATAATTATGATCGAGCTGATAATTCGTGATTTTTCATGCAATAGATGTAGTTACCCAATAAGCGGCTAGTGTTTCTGGAAACTCTGCTATTACCTTGTTAATTCTATTTAAAACAGTTGATATTAAGCAAGGATGCGCCATAAAATACTCTACCTACTAAATTTTGGTACAAACTGGTATTTTAGACGTACGTATTGACAGGGACGAGGGACAACTCACGAATATTTGCTCCTTGTCTGTTTCTACGAATTATTATAAACTGAAAATTATGCAGGTCTCTGGGAGAAACTGTATAAAATATCAGCGTAATTGATCGCATCGCGTTTTTGTTGTGTGTTCCAACAGAAGTTGACCTCGTGTACCGAGACGTGGAGGGCGGAGTGACGCTGTTCAACGCAGAGAACCTCACCACCAGGGTCCTCATGACCAATTCCACATTTGTAAGTATATTTCACAGGATTTTTGTCAGAAATCTTTCGAGGTGAAACAGGCTCTTATGTCTCTATCTTCCTAACATTATTCAAGTTTTTATTATAACTGTAAGTCTGAGGCTTTGTGTTGAGAACCCTCCGGCAAACTGTATCCTCAGCGAAGCGTCCACGTACTGTTTCTGTGCGAACAATCTTAGTTTAACACTTCGCGTGTGTAAATGAACAACGTCTTCAATATCTTGAGTTCAAATCTTGAGCTTCGCAGACCACGCGACTTTTCGTGTACTGACTCCATTGGATGATTATTATCTCTTCTATAAATCACAGAGATAACATGCACATCGACGATTTCTAATTAAATTCAGAGTAATGAAGTACTGCCATTTCACACTACGTCATCACAAGATTTAACTTTTCTCCTGTTATTAATTTTTAATTGCACTGTGCCCTCTTTAACCTATAGCTAACACGTGGACCTATTGAGACTTACAGGATAAGAGACGCGATTTTTCAGTGTTTCTTGTTTCAGAGGCAGTTGAATGCTTTAGACTTCAGGGTGTCCAGTGACCTCAATTACATACTACTGATACTGGATATCAAAAAGGTAAGTTTCAAAGCAGGTCAGCTACGTTATGCATGTGCCTCTAGAACTACTGCTTGCGTGATGGTAAAATCGCAGTAATTAATAATTATACTGGGGATACTGGGAACGACCCGTTCTTCAAGTGCCTGAGCACTGCGGGTCCCAACTTTTCGTTGGCTTTGATCTGTAGACATTCGGTAGGACTCCTTGGACGAGGGATCGGCCCGTCGCAAGGCCTCTACCTCTACACAGGACAGCACGACACAGAAAAAGGCAGACAAACATTCATGGCTTGAGTGGTATTCGAACCCACGATCCCAGCGGTACAATGCCCACGCCTCAGACTGCGCGGCCACTGCGGACCCCAATTAATAATTATACCCTAACTAACTAATTGTTTAAATCTGTGGAACATAGTCCCTCTTCAGAAGCTAATAACTTCTCAGTTGGTCAGGATATTCCCCGCCTTTTATGAAACCCTAATGTTTATTACTATATCTACAAACTTTTGTCAGTGGACCCTCTCCTGAGACGTATAAATTCATTCTACATCGTCATCGTCGTTCTTTAAGTTCGGTTTTAATTATATTCACCTACCAATGTGTACTTTTCAAAAGTAGTCTCTTCTGGTCAATAACTAAAATTCTGTACGCATTTTACGTAAATTGAATTCATGCTATAACTTATGTTCATAAAGAAATAAGAGACTTGGAAAAACTTGCATATTGAGGTACTTCAGAATTTGTAGTCTACTTTCCACACAGTATTATTACGCTGTTTATGTCGGAAAGGATCAGATGAGCGGAACACGTAGCAAACAATCGGGACATAAGAATTTCGCGAACCTTAGAGGAAATGGTTCGAAATTTCTTGATCTGCTGAAAGACTATAGAATCTCGAAGAAGGTCTGCTTTATGAAGTTAGTTCCACTGCTGTGAACACATCTGTTTGGCTTGTAGAAACGACAGAGTGTGGGTGTTAGGTTGGTAGTGAATTGTAAATTTATAAGGCCTACTTAGAAAATGTTTGACGCTTGTTTCCCGGGCGTAGGGGCGATTACGACATTCCCAGTTGTCAGGGATGTGATTTGACTCATATAACAAAGATAACTCGGTGAATCACGATTACGGTATTTAAAGTATTTTCTTGTACGGAATGTTCCATTTAAAGATTCGCCCTTACTACTACACATAAACCCCTTTACGACGAAACCAACGGCAATATTGAATTCTTGTAGCTGAACTCCGTTGTTGCAGCTGGTACACTGCTTAAAACAGGTACGGCCCCAATTTAAGCTGTTTTGTCGCTTGATGAGCACATTTACAGATGAAAACTTCATAATAATGCCATTACACTATTGTCAAAAAATATGGTGATATTTAAATGACTTGGTTGATTATTGTAAACAATAATGTATTGTAGTATGGGTAGTGTCATATTGCTGTCGCCTGTAAGCCATATAGGCCTATACATGAACACAGAGCACTGGAACGTGTGTTTGTTAGGACGCAGAACATATTCTCTCAGACTTGTTCTGTCGTCCTCTTGGTTACGAATCTTAATCCGTATCTTGACAAAACATGGCACAAACGACTAAGTAGTGACTTACAATTCAAAGAACATTATCTGTGTGTTCTTACAAAATGCTGCAAATTGTCGATATGTATCAAATATAATTTTCGAGTCGTTGTTTCTGCGAGTGTTTTTCTTGGCGAATACAGAAGACAGAATAAGCACACTTTCATTATTTATAACGACAAAATACTTTTGATTTGAGTAGACGTAAAGAAATGAACAACTTGGACTAGAAACATATGCTTTTCTCCATCACGACCCAACAATTATTCCTCGCGACCCATCGGTTGGCAAACACTGTAATATCTCGTGGACATTTGTTCCAAAAGGCAAGAGGAACCGGGTAATTAAATTTTTGAACTGTGAATTAATGTCGTTTTGGGGTGTTTTCAGAGTGTTCTGACCCATTACATTTTTTGTTTGATTCCTCCAGGTGTTCAGGCATTCCTACGAGGCCCGGTACTTCATCTTCGAAGTGCAGACTTCGTGAGTAAACACACGCATTCCACTGAGTGCACTTAATATTCTTAGGGAATGCTATAGTACAGAGAAACGGCATCTGCCTGCTTACTCGTAAAGTTGTCAGTATTAGTTTGTATTAGCTAGATATAAACACATAAGTGGTTGCATTTGTGCAGTGCATACATAAACATGTATTTTGTTTGATTTCACATCTTATGTGTAAGCAGTGGCGTTAAGGAAATGGTAGGTCACTATGTTTTTCAGATCGGTCGTAGGACTCAAGAAGGCTGATCCCCATACTAGGGATTCCAGAATTCGAATATATAACTTATCAAACAATCCACTAGTGACAGTAGAAGTTGTGTACACCGTGTTCAAATATGTTATTAACATTAGATTCGGTCTAAATAAAACGACTTTAGTTTTAAAATTGACCGTCTGTGTAAAACAGATTTGTCCTTCCCTAGTTGATTTTAAAATATATTTATTGGTTACACTTTAAAATAAGTTGATACCCTGAACGTGGAGTATGTGACGATTCCAGGAAGGTCAGAGGATCGGATCAGATCAGAAATATGTAAGTTCACGAATCACAGTGTAGGCATGTTGAAATAGTTCAGAGTGTTCACCACAACAATTATCATGTTATTTCTTGATTTCCTGGATACTTTACGGCCTACAGTGATTTGATAAATCACCTTGAAACTAATCTCTTTTCTAATGTAGATCATTAATAAAAAACCTTGTGTTGATACCGCTCAATAATTGGAAATTAAATCTGTAAATTAGTATTAAGATATAATAATATTATACAGACACTTCTTTGTGACGACAAAATAACTTTGTTCTAAAAGCAACGTTAGAAGACTCTTTTTATGTGAGGTGAAATAGCTTTGATGTATTCAACACAAGAAAACGCCAAACAGAACAGGTCCTTACTGAAAACGCCAGGCTTAAGAGTCGAACTTTTAACTCGTATTTATTACTCGTTTGATTTAAAATTCTAATCTATAGTTTGCTGTAGAGTTTCTTTGGTAAAGTTTGTATATTTAAATATAATAACAGCTTGGAAAGACGTGTTCAGTTATTTTACACATTAGCACGTCGTAAAAAGCACGGAATTTTACATTTGAACGTCTTTACTTCAAGTTTATTGTAACGTGGTCCTAGGTGGATACCTCCCTCTTTAGCCATGCTGACATTTGCTTCTTTAGTCTTAAGACGCGTATCCTGAAATTCAGCGTGTTCTTGGATTGCTATCAAGGATGTAGGAACCAAGCGTTGATTGAGCAACAAGATTTAATTAGTTCGTGAATGGAATTGGCTGTATGTGTCTGCACATGTGCCAGGTAAACCAATTGGACCGTTTAGAACACTCAGCTGTCGGATCACAATTAGTATATTAGCATACATAGTGAGAACTTCCCAAGGCGGCACAAGACGGACCTCTGCCGCTACGCGGTGGATGACGGGATGCAATGTGCTGAATCATTTGTCGGAAACTTTAAAATTGTGGGATTTGTGGTTCATAGACGACGCGTCTCTCGTTTTCAGTGCTGTCTCTTAGTTCTGTAGTGATAGAATCTAAAGAACAGAGCATTTGCAACAAGTTTTGTTTTATGCAAGATGAAACTGCTATGGAAACCTACGCCGTATTGAAAAGTGTTTTTTCTAAAGGAAACAATAAACTCAAAATTGAGTGGTTTTCGTAGTTTTATAGTGGGGTGACTTCTGTTAATTCCTTTTTCGTATGTTATTGAATTATTAATTGTAATTACAAAAACGACGAAGCGTTGAGATTCGTGTCCCATGTCGTTTTTTCTTGCTTTCTTTATTTATTTAACAGTGCTTCACCTAATACTTAAAAAACAGAGGCCTGATACCGAACGGGGATTGTCGTGAAGTGTGGGTTTGGAAACATGAATAGGAAAACGGCGGGTGGCCTATTTTAATGCGAGGAAATGACGAAAACTTTCAATAGTCGGCCTCCGAGCAGAGAATCTAACCCAGGGCCTCCCGTATTACGAGCAAGGTGTGTGGATCGCATTGTACATAGTTGTAAAACAAACCGTTAAGGTCTTCCATGGACATGAGGGGGGGTGGACGAAAGGTCGTCGTTCATAGCTGTCTACTGTTCTGAAGAGAGCTGTGAACACTCAAGAAACGCATGCCGGCGCACAATTCTGTGAGGACAGTATTTTGAAAGCGACCTCTTGCAAGATCGTGACGGAAATGTGATATTAAAATTTATCTTAACGATAAAAGGTTATGGTAACGTTAACCGAACTGAAATAGCTCAAGACCGTGTTCAGCGGTAGACTTCAATGTGTTAGCGGATTCAAACATAATGCAGTTAGTTGTTTGTTTGGTTAGTTTTTTTGTTTTGTTTAATGTCCTTGTTCGGTTATCGTGTACTTTCCTCAGTGAACTCTTTGCGATGAACCCACTTTCAGAATAATACACGCTGTACTACATTACACTAATTCGGTCACTTAATTCACTGTGATGAATATTTATGTCTAGGAGAAAGTTTGAATTGGGCCTGGGGGACAGTGAGGTAGATAACCACCCGTACCTCCAGCATGTCGTATGGGCACCAAAGGGAAACGCCCTGGCCTTTGTGTACCGCAACGACGTCTACTACAAGACCGGTGCATTGACCTCCCACGCTTATCGTGTTACTAACACAGGAAGACAGGGCATTGTCTTCAATGGCATCCCCGACTGGCTTTATGAAGGTAAGATAACTAACTGCTTTTGCTTGATTCACTGCTCTGCAACGATGTTCTGGTGCGCTCAGCTAGTCAACAAATTCCCCGTCATTAACGAAGCCCAAAGGTTCTTAACATGTTCACAAGAGCACACCAGTGGTTCCGGTATTGAGCCAGATGAATCCAGTCCATTCCCTTACACCCTATTTCTAAGATCAGTTTTAATATTCTCCCATTTATGCCTAAATGTTGCACGTATTGATGATCTCCACCATGCTTGGTACATGTTCTACCATATCATCTTTCTTGATTTCATCACCCTAACGGTATCTGGTAAAGACTATAAAAAATGAATTTCCTCATTATGTAAATTTTTCCACCTGATCATCCCTGCTACTTCTTATCTTTCATGTGCAAATATTTTATTCACCACCCCGCTCTAAAGCACCCTGGAACTATGTTTTTCCCTAAATAATGGGAAAAAATATTCCTTTGGATTAGTTTCAGACATATTTGGCATATAATCCTTTTTCTGCAGTTTCATTTTCTGTTCGCATTCGACCAACACGATATAGCACTGTATCTGGTTACATTATCTGCTGAAAACACTCAGTACGACCTCGCACATTAAAATGTTGCTGTTTAGTAATCTGTGGATGTATATAATCTAACAAGTACTACATCATTCTTATTGTTATAAATGTATTTCCAGGCGATTTTCCTGTTCATCCTCTTTCACTGACTTTCTGTTTCCTTTGTTTTGTAACATAAAATAAAATTAGTAGACGAGAACTTGCGCAGTTTTCAGCCATTGCCAGTCTCTTCGGCAACTTCTCCGGCACTGCTGTTATGCGGGCCTGTCAACTTGATCTACGCAGGTGCTTTCTTTTCATCAAGCATTCGTGCCGAATTACGAGTGTAATAAAAAAGATCTGTGCTAGTCACCCTAGAGCTATCTTGATATTTTGTTGAAGACCAACACCAATTTCACAAAGCCTTTAGTAGTTGCTACATGATGATTCGCGTTACTCCTGCCTAACTTAGGCATGTTAAAAATTAAATTTGTAATGAAGAAGACATATAACCTTGGATCTGTCAGTGTGCTAATATTAATGTACCTTGATGGGACATGTCTCGTCATAAAATCGGCAATCTTAATTGTAATATTTCCGTGTTTTAATATCGTTACTGACTTCCAAGGAAATGTGTATGCTGTATATAAAGAATGGTTGGATTTGTTTAAGTTCCTGTATAATTACGCAACAGTTAAAATTCACTTCGTATTTGCATCATACGGTTCTACTCCGTTGTAGTTTTGTATTTTACCACACAACCAAACTCTTCGCTTCATCGATATCTTCGTACTTTGAACTCAACAAAACAATGTAGTATGTTTATGTTATTTAAAAAAATTCCACTAAAAATGTGAAGTTGATCAGAAGCGCTGGATAGGAAAAATTACCACATTTTAATTTTTTCTGTTATAAATTTTGAATAAAATAAACAGTATGTAAAATAAGCGATTTCGTATCTTGTAACAAGGCTTCTTTTTATTTTACTCGTTTTTCCCGCATGATATTCAATCTTGAAGTTTTCTTCGCTCCCCAGAATCAGATACTTGGTTAGAACCATTTAGTCTGGAATAATTAACCCTTCGATATCAAAGCTCATAAAAATAATATTCAATATTTCAGTCTGCACCTCATAGAAAACTATTTTTTTCATTACAAATATGAACTGGTTATTGCTATTTACACTGAGATTCATATGAAACCCATAAATACCAAATGAAGAGATTTTGATTGTTGAAGCTGGTGGGGCATACAGTGGCATAAACAGTTACTACTGCTCTCTAAATTGTTAATGTCTCATATTCACATTCGCTGTGCTGAGTGTTGTTCCAACAAAAATTATTCTTCTGAACTTTTGTTTTAGTACAGCGTTTTATCTGCAAGTTGCCTCAGAATTATCAGTAAAAGAGTTTAGTTTATCAGTATACGTACATTTTGTTCCTAGTTAATATTTATTAAAACCAAACACAAATTAAATATATAACAGGCTTATCCATATACAAGAAATAGTTTATTGCTTGAACATGAAATAATATTTGCCAGTTGTTTTCTTCCATTAATTATTTGATACATGATCATGAAAATATGTCAAATCTATTTTCATGTTTCATGTACATAGTATTCTCGAAACGCTGAATGCCTCACCAGTAAAAGGTACTTCCTTAAAAGCAAGATGCCATACTCCACTCAGAAGTATAGAAATCACTAGTAAAATTTCTCATTATTCTTATTTAATTTAATATTTCTTCATTTCATTCTTGAAACACTGCAAATTTTCTGTCTCAGTTTGCATGTTTACTGTATCCCTCATTAGGGAATACAAGCAAGAAGATCTCTTCACAGATACAAACTTGTGATCACCTGCTTGGCTTTCACTTGTTGCAGAGGAGATTCTCAAGTCTCCAAACGCTCTATGGTTTTCACCTGATGCTCAGTTTCTTCTTTATGCCTGTTTCAACGACTCCCTAGTGGGAGAGCTGAAGTATCCGTGGTACGGCCGCATCCAGGAGCGGTTGCGATATCCTCAGATACGTATGCTGCGTTATCCTAAGGTAAACTCCAAATATATCACTGAGAACACTTTCTCCTGTGTAATAGTTACCAGGGCCCTCTCCCTAAGATGAACGTGAGGTGGAGTGTTCATGTTAATCATGTTAGCCATGTTAGCCTGGCTAAACCTAAAAACCAAAAAATACTTCATGATTCAGTGGTACTCCGTATACTTGAGCACAGCAGAACCAATCAGATAAAATACATTGTTAGCAATTTGCAGCCAGCTAGGTATTGACAGTCCGCTACTTGTTGCTTATATTTGTGGTAAGTACGTGGCTGACACCTAAGTTCTGAGGGATATTGTTTGAGAAACACTGCACTGATCTCTTATTTGTCACTGCCAATTAACCAGAATTATTGATATAGCAGTATCTATGAACTGACAACCAGTAACTAGAAGTGCTGCAACATGAAGATTCTCTCTCATCTACCGCAGGCTGGAACAAGGAACCCAGAAACCACACTATGGGTTGTGGATCTGAAACACCCCACACGGCTAAATCCAGTGGATCTGAAGCCACCACTGGTTCCTCAGCCCAATTCACAGTCAGGATGGTTAGTTAAACTTTAATTTATAAAATCTTTGAGTCTTTCTTGATATAGAAGTTAAGAATGAATGTAAATGAATTCACAACACCAAGCTGTAAATTAGTGAATAATACATTTGTTTTGGGAAGAATGTGTTTTATATTTGAAAAAGATAAGAAAGCAGCTTCAAAATTTAGAATAAACAAAGTTTTCATACCAAATAATCCTAGCCACAAGAAATTTGATACATACAATCAGGGCTATACTTGAACAAGGTTAGTCTAGGACAGTGCTACACTGATCGAGTGTTGGATTGCCACTCTGATACTTCTTTTCAATACAGTGACGTCAAAGTTAGTTTCGCCTAATGGCAAGAGTACCTATGAGCCCTCCACTTAAAATATAATATAGAAAGTATGTGTCCCTCGAAATTTAGAAAAACTGTATGAAGTATGAAGTCAGAGTGAATATGGAACTATATTCTTTCAAATAGATTCCCTAAATTTTATAATTTGTAATATTTTAGATTTTCACAGTGATGTGAATATCAGTGACCCTCAGAGTTGTGCCATGTCTTATATACTATAATTTATCTGTTTCCTTGTATGTTGATTTTCACTGTTCAATTCTGAATTTAAAATAGAAATGTGATCTTTGAGTAGCAATGAGAACAGCCTCATGTTATTTCAAAATAAACATTTAATGGAAAATCAATATTTTCATACGTGCTTCTCAGGTAGACTTACAATAGATTTGTGCACTTTTCTTCTGAATAACAGAATTTAGGCATGTTTATTCTGAATCAGTTAACTGGTTGAGACATTCATCCTTTAATTATGATGATTATCAGTATCTGTTCCTAATTACTATAACATAAAGTGTGTGCTTTTGGAGATTTTTTAAACACTGTGGTTTGTAAATCTTTACTAGTTAATTACCCCACTGACCCTGCAACTTTACCATTATTACTGATACTTGTCTGTAGCTATTTTCTTCCTTTAAAAGGGACCACTACTTCACAGCAGTAACATGGCTAGCCCATCATCAGGTAGCTGTGATATGGATGAATCGTGTACAGAATATGTCAATTATATCGCTCTGTCGAGGACCAACGTGGAACTGTGACACTGTGAGTCCTGTGCTGTGCTATTCAAACTGGTCTCAAAACATATTATCAGACATAGTGATGTGTTTTTTTATAAAAACTTCTATTCTTATATTTCACTTTGTAAGTTTTCTGTAACAAAGATAACAAATTCTTCTCAAGCTTCAGATCATGTAACAAAGACATTATTCTGGTTAGCATTTAGGAAGAGCCTTGGTCTTCATTGTGCAGAAACAAAATATATAAGATGGCAGAGTGTGGGAGATAGAGAGCAGACTTATTCGGTCCCGCTTGTGTCATCTTCATGTCCACTTTGAAATTATTAAATTGTGCAAATAATTTCCTTCCAATGTCGACACTACATTTGCACCATGCCACTAGCACAGAATAAGTTAGGAAGAAGGTAATTCATAGCCAGTCTAGGTAAGTAATTATATTGCTTTGTGAAGGAAGAATTAAGGCATGGGCTACAGATCCCATTTAAGAAGACAGGCTACAAAGAGCAGCAGTAACTGAAATAAGCTTGTCCACAGGAAAAATAAATATTAAAAGATGATAACCCAATTTAAATTTGAGAAACTTTATCTTTCACAACGCCTAACAAAGAATATACTTGTACTGGCACAAAGAGTCCTGTTTACAGTTTTGATGAATGTACAGTGAGACAGCTTGTAAATAATATTTATTTATTTAGTGTTCTGTCTGACGACAGGTCCATATGAACAGGATCCTTCCATCCTTTTCTCGGACTGGGACCTGTTCATATACGTTCTTGGCAGATGATCCAGAAGTGGGTTGCCATTGCCTTCTTCTGTGTGTGAATGGAGTAATTGTTGGGATGCCCCGGAGGAAAACTCCGTGTTGCCTAGACCACGGCCTTGCCCAACACAAGTTATAAATTCGGGCACCGCCGGGAATCGAACCCGAGACCCCAGGATTACAAGACCAGCGTTCTAACCGCTAGACCACCGTGGCGGCATAAATAATATTTATATCACTGATAAGAAAAGGCCAACACTGAAAGACATTTACAGGAAAGCAGTAGATGACAGTGATTTTCAAGGGAACTAAGTTCTTTCCTCAGACTTACTATACAATTAGGATTCAAATCTGAAGACAACAAGAAAATTCTTATTGAAGGGTACAGAAACACATCACACAAAATTTCATATTTAACAACAACACAAAAGTACAGAGCTGAAGGAAGAAATATTGTGCATATTAAAGAGCCTTACACTCATAGTATGTATAGCAGTAGAAAGAATGGATTGATGAAAGCACTTCTGTGTACCATGCACCAGTTTTCAAGGGCATGCATTGCTAATGTTATGTTAGTGTTTTAATCAGACACTAAAATCATTGATTACTATAATGATACTAAATTTTTAAATTTAAAAAATTGGTTACATGAAATTTATTCCAAATTTTCCACTGAATCATCGTCTTCGACGATACCTCTTATCATAACGTTTATTAGAATTTTAGGCTCAGTTAATTTTACTTATTTTGTTTTGTGACATATAGTAATAATTATAAATATATATATATATGCCTATATTTACACACCACAATTTTATTACTAACAAAAAAATTTATTTTGACTTTGTTTCTGCAAGACATGGGACTACACTCACAGATGTTTTCAGTGTGGTTTGTATAGTTACGTAGCAGGATAGCGCCCTAATCACATTATCTCTTATCCAAGTTTATCTTTCTCAGAAATAGGTTTGTTTGTGTCTCTTGCACTACTTCTCCTTTCACACTTGTCACCAAGGTTCTTCCTATTAGAATCTCTCTAAGAAAATTTAAATACTGTGTGAATAATAAGCTTCTTATGTGGGTAATTTAGTTTGTGCCACCCATGAAGTAACACTTCTTCTTCCTAAAATGTTTCCACTTTTTGTGGCTTATCTGAAATTAATACATATTTCAGACACAGAAACTTCAGGCTGAGCCCACTGGATGGATAGAGCTGTATGATGCCCCACTCTTCAGTTCTGATGGCTGCTGCTACTTGGCACGCTTGCCAGTCCTTGAGGGAGAACATGGCTACTACAAGCACGTGTGTCACATGGATGTTGCCAGTAAAAGAAATACACCTCTCACACAAGGCAGGTTTGAGGTCACTCAGATCCTGGCTTGGGATGAGGAGAATCATTATATGTAAGTAGATTCTTGCAATTGCAGCACAGCTGTTGAGTCCTTAGGCCTGAACTATGGTTTGTCAAGTTAGTTTTAACATATGTCTAGACAGTAATTAGGGAGTTCTTCTAAAAGCAATTACCTCTTGTATAAATAATACTGAATCCATATTCTCCAAAACACATAAACCCCAAACAATATTTAATATCCTTCATACTGATATGAAGCTTGTAGCTTTTAATCAGATCTGTGGAAGCTCGGCATACATTCCAATTGAGTTTTGGCATGCAACACCAGCATGTTGTAAATTCCTGTACTAGATATTAAACTTCAACTATCAACTTTTTTAGAATACTGTTGTGGCTTTAGATATTTTGTAGCAGCACCCGAACATAAACCAGGGGAAAGACACCTTTATCGAACAGGTGACCTTAACATCAGCTCTCCAGATACCCGACAGATGGACTGTCTTACATGTCCACCATTGGAGCCATCTCAAAGCCTGTACCATCATGGACTGGAGTCACCACGTAGTACAGCTATGAGTGGGGACATCAGGTAAGACAGCATGTCCTATGTGTTTCTGATGACTGGAACGTGAAACAAAATTCTGAGGGAAGTGCCAATATATCAGACACATTTGAACATAACTCACTAATTATTTATCAGAGCAAAAAATGTCTTGAATAAAAATAATAGAGACAAATTAAACGTACTTTTTTGTTACTCTCGTGATTTCTGAGATAATTAAACAAAAGTAATTTTTATGCCATGTTATCTTATAACTCAAATACTGTTAGGCTCATTTATTTAAATTATATACTGAAGGTACTTATTCATCCATAGCAAAGGTTAGCCTTTCAAGAATAAAAAATGTAAGACCTTCAGTAGAAACAGACCAATTACTGTAATGTAAAATATTGCATGCTATAAATCTGCATAAACAAGTAAGCTTGCTTGCCTACTTTTTAAAACACAACAGGTATCAGCAGCAATCAAAAGACAATATATAAATGGTGTGAGGTATCTTTATTAGAATACCAGCTCTTCATATGTTTAAGCAGTTTATAAAACTTCCTACCAGCACTGATTACAATGCAAGTGAGCTGGCCTCATGGCCGCCTTGCTTGTATGTGGCACCACACTTGAGCCCAGGCCAGAGTCCCCGCTTCTACGTGTTAGAGTGCCTGGGTCCAGACCCCCCCACTGCTTCCCTAGTGGACCTGTTGAGCAACACAAAGCTTGTTGTGCTGGACACACAACCTGCGCTCAGGGACCGTCTTGCAGTCATGGCCTCACCTCAGGTAAATGTCCGTAGTTTAAATTTGTGTCACAGATGTGCTATAGATGTGTATCATATGGATTTAAATCTGAGAGAAACAAACAATTTACACAGTATGAGCATTAATTTTTATGGTGTGTAAGTACTCATGAATGATGCATCCAGTGATTTCAGAATTAATAAGGAATTCAGCATATCCTGTTCTACTGTTATCACCGTCTAGCAAAACAACTGTACTAATTAAGAGTCACGTTATAGTCGGTCAAGAAAGTTTTGATCATGCCACATACAATAACAAGCACTATTCTTTCTACAGGTTAAAACTATCAAAGTGTTGGTGGATGGAGGTTATCATGCACAGGTGCGCCTTCATCTGCCACCAGGATTGAGGGAAGATGAAGAAATGACTTTCCCTCTTATATTGCATGTGTGAGTACTTTGTTTCTATATGCAGTGTCTAAACATCTTAGTTCTGAAAACAGTTTTATGAATTCAAATAAAATTCTATCATTAAAGTAATTTATTATTCATTAATATTTTGTCTTCCTGGGTTCCAGTTCCGAGGTTTATTTTTATTAGGCTTTTTTAGCATTGTAGTCTTCTCTGACGGGTGTGGAGCTGGTCCACCGCATCAACCCCCCAACCTGGAGGACCAGGTGATTTCTTTTTCAGGGTGTTCTTCCCCTAGCCAAAGTAACGGTCAAGAAACATAAGAAGAAGAAGAAGAATTATTATTTTGTAAATGAAAAGCAACTTACTGTAATCCAGCTATACTTGTTGATTAACTCCATAAAAAGACATCTCATGTATAAATGTTTGTCACAAATATTACATGTTAAAACAAACATTACTAATCTGTTATAAACACTGAAAACTCTGTCAAGATTCAAAGTAAAAAGGAATTCCCAAAGTCAGTAAGTACAGAAGTCATTTTCTTAAATATGAAAGTACTGAGATCGTCATTTATGATTATGTTACTATGTAGGTGTGGAGCTCCTGGATCACAACTTGTTTCTGAGCAATGGTCTGTGGACTGGGGAACATATTTAGCCAGTAATCGCAACTTCATTGTAGCCCAGATAGATGGGCGCGGCTCCGGTTATCAAGGTGACCGTCTCATTCACGAGTTGCATTATCGCTTGGGTAGTGTTGAAATTGAAGATCAAATTGCTGTTACCAAGTAAGTTGAATGTATTAACATCACTAAAAATAATAAATACATATGTAGCACAATTTTAAAGGATGACATTTTATTTTACATTTTTCTGGAGACAAATAGTAATGACAGTGACAAAATAACAAATTAAAATTATATGGACAAAGAAAGTGAGGTCAGAGTAACCTTTATCTTATAGAAATGGTGGATTTGAGTGTCCTTATTGTGGGGCTGCCAGCCACACTTCAGTTCTGGTGTTAACAGTAAAGCAGTATGGTAGTGTAACACACAGCCTGGGTGTCATAACATGTAGATATTTTCTTGATTAGCTGAATGACTGGCAGCTTCTCAAGAAGGACTATGCTCCATGGAGTTAATTTTAAGGTGTTAGAAATATGGTGAATAATACAAGAGGGTATCAGATAATCATATTTAATATAGCTGTAATGGTTCAGTTCAATTCATTTACACATTGAATTTAAAATTTCTGAGAAACTGTTTTAGAACATATATTGCTATTTCTTTGAAATATAACCTTAAATTATATTACTATTCTGTCTTCTACCTCCATCTACATTCTGTCTAGCAGTGTATACTGATCTGCCCTTAGGTACTTGCGGGATCTCAAATTTGTAGACAGGGAGCGTATGGCAGTATGGGGGTGGAGCTATGGAGGTTTTGCAGCAGCCATGATCTTAGCACAGGATGAAGAAGTTTTTCATTGTGGAATCTCTGTTGCACCCATCACCAGCTGGGCTCACTATGGTGAGTCATGGTTTCCAACCCCACTCCTTGACTCAGATACAATTAATGTCTTGCAAAGTCTGCGAGTATTGACACCCAAAATTTTCCACATAAATACAAAATATTGTTTATATATTTTAGCATATAGGACTTTCGTCAAACAGAATAAGTGTATTAACCATATGATTATTCATGCTTTAACACAGGAAGTCACAAAATTTATTCCTAGTAAGACTATAATTAACAACATAATTAAGAAAGCAGAAAACTGGAAGTTGATGGTAATTGGTGGTGATGATAAGTAACTTTTGTTTATATGTGCAAAAAGAAATTTCATACTAAAACATTCGAAAATAGTGGGCTGAGATGTAAGTTTATTCCTCAGAGAATTTATATACAGCATCTAATTATATGAAGGGAATGGCCAGTTAAAATCAATAGGACATAAAGAATATCAATACTGGTCTCATCAAATACGTCTGATTCCAAAGAAAGAACCTTGGAATGAAATAATATAGAACAGGAGTTCTCGACCTGCTTCCCACCAGCGTATTGTAGACAGCCATTCCACATTAACATAAAATCTTGCTTGTTAATTTCTACATTTGGTAACAATGACAATCTGTTATATCCATCTGTTTACAACATTAAATCACTGGGCTGAAAATGCCATGGCATCGACCCTCTGTACATGTGCATCACTAACCATACTTCACCTCTTCACATAGTTTAGCTCCCAGACTGCTGTCTAAGTGAAAAAGTGGCTTCTGAGTACAACTAAGTTTATCATCTCCAGCACATATAATTTATAACTCTATGAATTCATCCAGCATGCTGTACTGCTTGCACAGCATATAAGACACTCCTCATTCCTCTTCTTATTGAAAAGTTTATTTTCAGATAACTTCAAATAATAGTTAATTCCCCCACCCTTTTTAAACTAAATACTGAAGTAGTAACACAAAGCAAGACAGGAAGAAGTTATAAACAACATCAAGAAATCTGTAGACTTTTTGACTTCCCATTTCTATCACAGAATTTTATAATATGAGGCTTTAATTTACATTGCTTTTATGTATGTTTTTCTTAGACTCAGTGTATACAGAACGCTACATGGGCACACCCAATGTGACTGATAATTACCGAGGGTATGAAGAGGCAGATGTCACTAAGCATGCTGGAAACCTACGTAATAAACTGTTTTTGCTGATACATGGAACAGCTGACCATACTGTACACTACCAGCAGAGCATGATGCTGGTCAGGGCACTCACTGACCAGGGAGTTCTCTTCCGACACCAGGTAGGAACAAATTCTAGTCTTCTGCAATCAATAAATTAATTAATATTTTAAATTTAGAGCAAGGAAGTTTGCAAAATAAGATATTATTAGTGAGGTAAGTAACCATACAGATATGATGGAAGGAGAGAATTATCTTCCTCACATTTGTGAGATTTGAGGTTCTTACAGTGGTGAACATATCAATGTGTTCTTTTGGGTTATGACGCCATGTGGACTTGCAGGCAGACACCAGTATTTTAGAGAAACATACTGTTTCCATCTTCAAAGTTATGGAGACAGTACTTTCTCCAAAATTTTGGTATCCACAATTCCACAGGATATCAAAATCCAGGAGAACATAAACTTCTAACATACATTAGTGTGTGAAATTCTTATATGTCTCTGTACACTGCCCATCTTTATTTCTTAGAATCATTGTCAAGACTGCATTTAGTAGGATATGAAGTTTTCATGGCAGGGAGTATGGAGATGGCTGTCTTCTAAATTGTATGTAGTCTGGTAGAAGTTTACCAGCATTTCAGAGGTACTTGCTGCCTCCATCATCATCATCATAAGTACCTCTAAAACGTTGGTAAATTTCTGATAAACTACATGGTACTGCAACCCAGACGATAGCCATCTTCAGCTCTGAATTTGTTTTGCAGTTATCAGGTAAATTATATACCAGGTGTCAAGAACAGCATCAACCTCTGATATGATTATTCATTTACTCACCACAGAGGCAGTAGTAGTCTACAGTAAGGATTGTAGAGTTGGAAAGAAATTTGTTTATCTTTAAATTGTGTCTCAAGAAGGAAGTTCCACTAAATAGTAACAAAATAAGAAATACAGTTAAAATTACACTCTTGTTTTACTAGATTTTATAATATCTAACTAAACCTCTAACTTAATAGAAGTTAACAGCAGTGAGTAAGTTCAGTGTTACAAACCTTGATTAAGACACTATCAACATAATAATATTAGACATGAAACAGTTTTGTTGAAATTATGTATCTGTCATTATTTGGTGTAAAGGGTGCTCTTTTATCCTTTGCGTTCATACCACGTAATAGTTTATGTATTTATTTGCAGACATATGCAGATGAAGGCCACAGCTTCTCTGGAGTCCAGCATCATTTCTACAAGGCCATGGAATCCTTTCTGGATGATTGTTTTGGTCCACTTGATTTTGAAGAATGGGAAATTGGTACAAGTTTCTTCACATTTAAGCAATAGCAAGTACCAGGGAGAC